ACAGCAACAGCAACAGCAACAGCATAAACAACGACATGACCAACAACAACGATTTTGCAATTGAACGCTGGGCGAGTGGGCTCCACGCATGGTGGGCATATTACCGCACCAGGCACTCACTAGGTAACAGCACACACCAAACCAAAACAGTATATATTATATAATAGCAACAGCGACAGCGGCAACAACACCACATGCACCCATCGACGACAGGCAACGTGTCCATAGAAAGATCTTGCCCGCTAGACTGTATGCCAACAAGCTTTTTTGAGTCAAGTGTCCTTCGAATGCGCTGCCCATACGGCACTGAGGCATTCCAGAATGCAGCTTGCCTCGTAGTTGGCAGAATTTGGTAGAAGTGACTGCAAATCCTGTCGAAGACCTTTCCCTTGAAGGCCATTGCCGCCCCACCATTTCCAAGGAACGAACCGACAACTCGAAAAACGTTTCAAGCACAAGGGCTAGGCATCCAAGTCTTTCATTTCAGACAGCGGCAGCAAGTACAGTAGGCGCATGTCTGAACACGGCAACGAGCAAAACAGAAGTTTGCACAAGCAGCATGCATTCGTGGGCTGTGTGCCCGCTGAAATCAAAAAACCGTTTGCCATTCAAGCCGGAGCAATTTTGCCATGGAGCGTTCGCGATCCGCATGGAATGCTCGCATTGGCAGCATAGTGACAACGTGAATGTTTGATATCCATGATAAACAGAGGTTCTGACCGTGCTACACATTCAGAATCATCTGACATGTTCTTCAAACGATACAGGAAATCACCCATCCGACAAACGAACATACAGGGCCGGTGGCGAATGTCATTGCCAGTGGCGATTTTGGCAGGTACGTTTTCAGCTTCCCACTAGCCTCTTCGTTGGGCACTCAGCCGGCCTAGCGAGAAGGAGCTCCCCCTTCCGAAAACCTTGTGAAGCATCAAGCCTTCCCCTGTTTTCACTCTCGGTGGTGAGGTGTTGAATGCCAGTGGCGAATTTTTCTTGCAAGATAGGGCTCCCGCCGATTTCTCGCCAGCCTGTCCCTAAACACACCCATTGCTCATGGCCGCTGATTCTGTTGAGGGACTGACTCCATGAGGCACATGCGCGGCACGACCCTGCATTAAGCCGCATCACTAGCGCAAAAAATATTAGCTAGTTAAACGGTCCTCGGCTCATGCGGATACGACACAACGGGCAGTAGAGTCACAATGATCATGCGCTGCCTCCGCTCGCTCGCTCACTCAGTGGCAAACCCACACCCCTCCCCCCTCTTTTCTGACCACTGTAGGAGTTCTCTCTGCGAACACATACGTGGACATCTGTGGAATCCCCCTAAAGCAATAGCCTCCAAACACAATGGGTTCTGGAACGAAAGGTAGGGCTGTATCTGTTCAGCTAAAGCCTACCCCCTCGTGTGAAGACGTCCATGTCAATGGTTGGATTTACATGATCAGTCTTCAAAGGGATGTGAGGCGGATACACGAAGCCGAGCAGAGCGTAGGTAATCTCGAGCAACCTCGTGAAAGGGACTTGTAGGGGCGCCACTATGTACACCCTGAGGTCATCCACGAACCGAATCCCACGCACTGCCACATCCTGTAAGCATAAGTAAGCTGGTCATGAAGCTCTCCCAACGTTGCGGGAGCCGCGCATGCACTTCATGGCAAATCAGCACCATGCGGAATAAAGCTGATCCCAGATTACGGCCAATCACGACTCCACGAATCTGATTTCATTTTGGTGTTGCCACAGAAGAACTGCATGAAGTTTAGCGCTAGATTCAACACCGGCTCCACATCCTCCAAGCACACTTGTACCCAGTCACCTGTAGCTTTTCCACTCCACGAAGCATTGGGGGCTTTCGTGCCCTCCAAACTCACATGAGGTCCCTTCCCCGCCCAAACCCATGCTTTGCAGTGACCCCCTTCTGCCATCAAACGTCTGATCAACCTCCACGATTCCTGTATTTCCTGGTGTGTTACTTGCATGTACCCATTACCCACAAAAGAGGCAGTGAACAACCCATAATTCACAAGCTCCTTGAACGGAACTCCTGTGCCCCCCGCAAAAGAGGCTCAGTACCAAACTTTCTGTACTGCAGTACAGTGGATGGTTCTGACTTTGCCTTTTGCTCCAGGTTTAGACGGCTGAAGCAGAATCTCAGAATTGAGCAATCGTGTTTGTCGCGAAACGGTTCGAGACGGCTGAAGCAGAATCTCAGAATTGAGCAATCATGTTTGTCGCGAAACGGTTCGAGTTTGCCTGCCTCAAAAATAAAACCTCTATGATACCTGACAGGGCGGCCTCACACTACGCTCCGTGAATGCGCGGTTGGTGAACTTCTCCTCATGTTTTATGTTATGGAACAGCTTGCAGGAAAACTGTTCTTTTCCATAGGGCTCCCTGGGAATGCCGTGACCACGCGAATATGTCTTTGTTTATTCTGGCAATTACGGCGAACCTCTGACAGTGGCACTTGCACCACGACAAGCATGCATGTACGGTCTTGGCAGAGGTGGACTCTCTTTTACACTTGCAAATGGTTACAGAATGTTGCAGGACAGGCCGACTTCGCTATTGTACTGCTGTCTCAACATATGCACATCTTGATCGATCCGATCTGTCTGCGCATCTGCTTGAAGCCCGAGGCCGCGAGCCAAGGATGCCCCTACGATCGCGAAACATCACGAAAGTCGCCCCGTGCTCAAAAGCTGCCTTCGTCGAAACATCTCCCTTCTGTGCAGACATCCCACGATTCACGATGGCTGACTACCATGGGACTGAATGCAGCGCAGAAGCCCGGCATCATTCACCCCTCCGATGAGGCCTGAGCACATGCACATCCTAACGAGCGCACGGTCCTCAATAAATCAAGCGGGCACAGTTATGAGCTTCGGTCGTATCGGACAGCCAATGGCGGCAGTTGTCAGATCATAGAACTCTATGGGTGCTTGAGAGGTTCAAGAGAAACTGTGACATGCTAGTGTTGCTTATAGCCACTCGCTTCAAGTCTCAGGTCTGCGGCTAGCTTCCGTTCCGACAACTCATCGACAACTCCAATAATCCCGCAGCTGTTCACCTCCGGAGCCGGAAGCTCACGCCGTGCGGCAGTTGAGTGGGTCAATAAGCTCAAAGTCCAGGCCAAATTGTCTCTCTTCTGAGCCGTCCTGAGTCGCTGCATGTGCCGTCGTCGGTGTCTCTAGAGGGCTCCCGCGTCACCTCTTGACCCAAGAGAAAGTTCAATCCTGTTCCGCCAAGAATCAAGAACGACCGTGTACCGCACGCCTGGCATGAGCAGAGGGCACCATGGAAAGGCCATTTGTATAGTGAGGCTCGGGAGGCACCTCTTTGCTACAGTCACGCATCAAGACATGGACTGGCGACCCATGGAAGCAGTGGCACCAGACATCTTCATGTCGGCCCGGACCTGTCTTGTCGAAACGGACAGACTGAGAGTTCTTGGGGCCTTGAATGCTATGAAGCCAGATATCGAGCCATGCATGGAAGGTTGCAACATTGCCGCGTCTTCTGAAATGCAGAAATACAATCTTCCCAGACGAGTCACAGGCCGCAAGTGTGTCTCCTTGCAACTTACAAACTGGAGCAGGCACTGAGGCTAAATGGCTATTTGCGTTTCTTCATGTGGTGCTGTAGGGCTCCGGGACATTGGCCCGGCGGGCGTGGATATCTTGAATCTCAACGGCAACCCTCAGAACTGGAACGTAAACTGATGATGCTGAAGCTCCTCATCGTCCTCTTCCGGATGTGGCATTTGCTCTTTCACAGGTTTCCTGGCAACAAGTGGTAGAGTCGTAGAGGTTGGGCAAAGGCCTCAAGACCATCCCCTCAACCCTCACGATGAAGGCATCACACGTAAGGCCACTTCCAAACCCCGAGTGAATGCCCGCCCCAGCTCCCAGTAATGATAAATGCATCTTGCACCGGCCGCAACCCCGAGTACGGGAACACATCGTTGGCAGCCGAAATTCTGCAGCTGTGGCATCAGTTTCGTGACCGGCACTGTCTCTTCCAAGTGCTTCTCGTGGCTGTCGCTGCAACAGGAGTTCCTGTCCAGCGCATCGTCACGCAGCAAGGTGGCAACTCATATCGCAATCATAATGATGGCCCATCGCAGCAGTGGAGCAGGAGAGCATCTGCTGCACCACCGACAATGTTGCAGCTTGCGTAACTCGAACTATCGAACACATGATTCAAAGACAGTCCGTGATCTAACATCTAACTGATTGCAAGTGTAGTTTCTCAAATTCGAAGTTCTGGAGAACCCACTATAAGCCACTAACAGAGAAAGATGGCAGACTCAAGCAGAAATTCTACTATACAACCCTGCAGCTACGACTCCCAATGCTCTGCACAATTTGCCGCCGAGGAGCAGCAAAGACGGGAACGAAGAAGCGCAGCATTTTGCCATGGCTGAGCATTGAACGTGAAACAAGTCAAAAGCAGCTAGCATCTGTGTCGTAAAGCTGTTCAGGAAGCCCTGGCTGATTGGGTCTCTCAGGATCATACGTCACGCCGTTCTGACAGCTAGGCTCCTGTCAACTATCAGGGCGGCGCATGCCTGCGAGCCACTTGCAACTGGATTTCGCACATGACTTGATGTGATACTGCGCGGTATGCGACGTTTTGAACACATGCTGCTGCGGCGCAGCCTGCTGTAGGCTCATGCAGACAGCTGCGGATATGCCCGACTCTGGCCTGGGAGGAAGCAGCCCCTGAGGAGCTGTGTGAGCCGATTTTGCCGGAAGGCGATGAACTTCGAATTTGACGCCCTGGCCTTCCATGTCGCGTAATGTTCTTAGCAATCAAGTTTTGGGACAGTCATTGTAGAAGAGGGCAAGTCCTTCGGGTTTACGCTCTCACAAACTACGCTGGCGCTCAGCGAGAATTTGAGCTTCGATTCTAGACTGCTTGGAGACAACTGGACACAAGGTTCAGAAAACAGCCTTCGCAACTCGCGACTACAAGACTTGAACCTGTGCAGAGCACACATAGAAGGGAGGCTGGGATCTATGAGCTGCGAAAAACCACGCAGCTTGATTGTACTCGGTAAACCACAGCCGAGTTGCTCTGATGCACTCCTTCAGCGCGGCCAAGGAAGCATTGATCTTTGCCCCCTCCTTCCTGTGCGCGACGAAGCCAGTCGATGCGTGGACGAAGTCTGCGGTAGTTGTTACCGGCTCCGCATCACGTTCGAGCTGACCCCAAGCCTAGAAGGCCTAAGGCACTTAGTCCATCTCGGAGCCGAATCTCGGAGGTGAAGGGTTCACAAAGCCTATGAGTATACGAAGCCACGCCACAAGTCGCGGCGAGACAACAGAAACACGAAATGTGGGCAAATTCAATGCCGGGCACGAAGACGAGAATCCGCTGACCCACTATACACAGGCAAGGACCTGCAATCTAAAAGCCCTGGATCCACAGGGTTGGCCCCAGTCCTCCGTTCTGCGTTGTGCTCTGCGTTGTCCTCAGATGCTGGAGCAGCAGAGTCAGTCAGGGAGATTCTGAACATGGGATGTCGATTTCAGGGTCCGATCTCGGGTCAGGGCCTTCAGGGGCGGCATTTTCGCTATGCCGAATCATGAAGCGACTAAGTTGTTTATGCGATGCGCGGCCAACTGGGCTGGAAGTGCAATTTGCACCTCAGACTTAAGCCTTGACCGAATCCCTCCGCGAAGTCGCAAAAGCGGCCCAGCGTCGATTCGATGTTCCGAGCCTGCCAGGTCCACCAAAGTCACGGAGCCCTCGGCACCTGTCATCAGTGTCGCCGTGCTCAACACCTACAGGAGACTCCATCGGCGGATCCATAAGACCAGGCAGGCGCCTGGCAGTTGGAGGATAGGGTGCCGTGGCAAAAAAACGGCGAGTAATGACTGTTGAGTCGTCTCACCTGTAACGGATCAAGCCAACCTCCAAGTGCTCCGAAAACTTTTGCAAGTTATTCAGCAGGCCCCTGCTATCAAAGCTGACACAGCATTGGGCGCGGCACCCGATTTTGCAAGAAACGATTCCTTGTGCTACAGTGCGCAGACTGACTAGCAGCCCTGGATGTTGCCAGCCTTCTCCACATTCCACGAAAATGCGGCAAAGCCTTGGCGAATAAACTATTGATCTAAACGGACCGGGCAGAATCGGGCACAAGCGACAACCCTCCGATACAGTGACTGAGCCAGACACGCATGAGATCTGGAGGACTGGTCCTTGCCATTGCCAATGCACAAGGCAATCGGATCTGAGATAAAGCTGGACCACCCATATCTCCCAAACTTGTCTGAACTTCAGCACAAAAGCAAACTGTCGGAAAAGAAACTTTTGCTGGAGTGGCGATGACGAATCTAACCGTACGTTCGACATTCCATCTACTCAATCCTCTCTGCAGCTAACTATAACTGTGTGTGAGTGTGTCCGTATTTCTGTTGCGTGCGTGCGAGCGAGCTTCATGGACTCCGGTGGCCGCCGTGGCCCGGAGCTTACCTGCCAACCAAGGTAACCGTTCTCGACAGATGCAGAAACGGGGATTCCTTAGCTCTGGCAGGCGGCCTGCGAGTTCGATCAGTGCAAGGAGTTCTGCCGAGGTCACCACCTGGCAAAGCTTCCCCCTGCGGTGCTCAAAACTGCATCTGAACGCTCTTTTTTGAGCAAGGACTGCACTGCACTAAGCCCTGAATCCCTTCACCTGAAGGCCCTGAAACCCGAAACCACTTCCGCTTGCAGAAGCCATCGGGGTATCATGCGAACCCGCAAACCTGAAGCGCCTGTCTTCGGGTTTCTGCTCAGCTCTGATTGCTGGGAGGTCAGGGCAGCAAACAACTCAGAGCTGTACCGCGCACAGCCCGGACAGCCCGCCCTCAGCACTAACAGAAAGAGTAGCAGCGTAGCCCCTTCTTCTCGACACTGTAAAACAGGACAAGTAGCGCGCGGGGAAACAGCAACAGTCTTGAAGGTACAAGTCATTTGTGGTCAGAACTTAGTTGTTTCGTTTGCTCGCAAGCAGTGATGCCGGCGGTGAAACCTGCTCCAGCCAAACACCCTACGCTGGAATGTCGTGCCAGGAGACAGAAGCAAACTTCTGTTTGGCCTGATCCGAGTGCAGGACCGTTCCATGGGAGGGGCTCACCAATGCCAGCACCCAATGCAACAGCAAACTGTGTGAGGCACTGCAACCACATCGTAAGACAAGCTGGAAGGCTCCCGAACTTGCCGAAGAACGGGTAATTAACCGCTGGCTGTTACAATTTTCCATGGTAGACCTGTCGATTGCAACAAAACCTGTACATGGTGAGCAACTTACATTCCGGGCTCCCTTTGTGTGACACCAGGAGCTGCCATGGTCGGTCTGCGCTCGCAGCTTGGACAATCCACGCTCCATGCGCTTGCCAGTTCAGATGGTGCAGTTTGTAAGCATATAACCTGTTGACACACACACACACAAATCACACAATGTCGCTTCATGGATATTGACAAGGCATGTTCGCTTTTGCGCCGACAAGTCATTGTACAATTCCTGCACTCTGTGTTTGCATCGGTCTGTGCTGGCATGGACTCCAAACAGCCAAACAACTACACTAGAGCACTATAAGCATTAGAATACGTATCGAGTGTGCCTCCTTGTGTTCATGAACGGTGCAGAAAACGACATTGGATGCGTCTACTAAGATGCAGACAAACAAAGGTGAACCATGCAAACGGGCCTGAGATGGCCTGAATCTGTCGATCGGTGGCTTCAAGGTGAACCAATTTTCACTCCCGTTTGGTGGCGTCGACCACACAGCGAATCGATTGCGTGCCAGACATGTCACTCAGGTCACGCACAGTATGCTGCACGTTACAGCGAAGAACCCAAGGTTGATCTGAGCCTAGGCGCCGCCTTGCCGCATGAACGACAAGGGGCCATGACGACGAAGTTTGTGGACAAACTGCGGAAAGTGAACATTTTGGGTCAGCAGAGAGATCCGCAGGTGTCAGGCATGCGGGCCAAATCTAAATCTGGGTCTGGACCCCTCCGGCATGAGAATGGCTTCAGCGCGTGAGCTCAAGGGCGCTATGAGGTGGGCGTTGAAACTCGATTTCAGGTGGAAACCCTGATGGAAGAGCTTTTGTCGGGGCCACTACCCCGAGTACTGGCAAGACACGACTGCTTTTCGGCAGTGTGCCTACTGCGCCATTTCATCCAATGGACTCGACTCTATACTCGTGCACCACGTCAATGTCCCAAACGAACATGAACCTCACCGCCATGGATCATGAATTTGGCACAACGCTTTACCAGATCACATTCAATTCATATTCATACTGGATGCTGCAAGTGCTCGGTCACTTCATCTCTTCACATTCTCCATCTGATTCTCTAGATCCAGTTAAGTGGCTGTGACTGCGAGTGGAAAGCCTTCGCCTCAATCAGTGGAACCACCGCATATACGTAAAACGTTGCTTCACTACACCGATACGGCGAGCAATTCTGTACAGGTGGCCCGGCATGCGTCCACCGATCCGAAAAAACAGCCCATTGGCGCCATTCGGCGTCTGGGAAAACATCACCTTCCTGACAAACCCAAGCAATCCTGCAGAAGCCAAGGAATGCTGCAGAAGCCAATGCTAGTTTCAATCCTTGAATCAAGCTATTCTCGTGCACTCCGCAGGCCCATCAGTCCCCTCTTACCATCCATGATCTCGAACTGGAGACCATTGCTTCAAGATGAAGCTGATATCACTACACCGACAAAGTTAACTTAGAGATGGCAAGCACGTCGAAACATACTAGTACAATGACAGCAGGACAGGTTGACCGATCTCCAGTAGGTGCTCACTCACACATGCAAGAGAATCGGGCTTCTCTCAAGAATTGCTGGGATACGGATGGTGAAGACTGAGTACCTAGCTGGCTACCTCCTGCGCTGGTCAGCTGCAGCGGCCGAACATCAAGACTTCATCGACGCGGGTGCCCAAATCATATGCGGAAATTATCAGACATGACCTGCGAGCGGTGGCTTCTCCTGAGGCAGGCCGAAAGTCGAAAATCGGAGCTTGGGGCTTGAGTTTCGCATCGAACTCAATCCTGGAAGCGTAAGCCCTGCCAACAGAACATACTCAGTAGACTGGAACAAACTCCAAAGCTCCATTAAACACGCGAGCCGAACTAACTCGGCGGATTCACCTGTAAGGCTTTCGTCTGATTCTTTAGACGTTTCTGCATGTGGCATAATGAAGCCTCTACACTTAGCAGCGCAAGTGCGCAAGCAAAATTCAATTTGTTCTCTGGTTCGGGCCAAATTCATGAGGTGTCCCCTATACTGAGTCAAGCCAGGCCACTCTACACAACAAGCATGTGCGCCAGCTCAGCAAGTTGAAGACTGCAGCCAGATTCAGCTAAGCATCTCATGGCGAATTGCCTTCTGCAGCTTTTTCAAGTGGCCGAGAACTTCTACACGGAGGCTGTCATTTTCGCGCTTCATTTCTGCCATCATGTTCTGCACCGCTTTGGTTGCCAGCCTTACATTCGAGCAATCCAATTGCTGGAGATTGACACGACGGCTGGGAAAGTGGCCCCTTGAATTCCGACATTTGAGCGTAGTCTGTCACTAGACAGTGGCCATCGTCTCCTGAAAATGACGGATATGACGGCTTGATCCTCCCTCCCTCCCTCCCTCCCTCGCTCGCTCTGTCGCTCTCTCTCTCTTGCTTGCCCGGTTGGGGTGTGCGAACCTTAGGGCTCCCTGGCCCGAAGGCCTACCCCTCAAGGCACGCGTCTCTGAGTCGGAGAGGCCCCTTTCGGGGGAGGACATCATGTTCCCCTGACTGCCACATCCTGTATGTACCCCAAGTAAACACCCCGCCCAGACCGTACCAAATAGCCTTCCTTGTGCTAGTCAGGTCTTCCTTGCGTCCAGGATCCAGCGTCAGTAAGGAAAGGAATCACTAAGCAACTCTCTCTCTCTCTCTCCCTCTCCCGGGTGTTGGGCCACGGGGAATGAAGTGCGAGCATAGACCAACAATAAGGCTGCAGCCATAAAGTCTCCGATAACTACGTCATGCTGGTCGTATGCTCTCAAAGAAACATGCAGAGGGATGCGGACAGCCATGTCAGATCCATACCAACATATTACCACTACAATGAAGACAGGCAGGATCGATATCTCTCTCTCTCTCTCTCTCTCTCTCTCTCTCTCTCGCCGTGCTATCCTCAAGGGTCTGGTGAGAACAGAGGCTGTGTTGTGGAATTGTGTGGTAAGTCTGTTTATGCCAAGCTCTGGCTGGAGTTGAACATGTCTAGGGGTTCAGAGGCAGCCGAAGCCGCAGCGGCGCGACGGTGTCACTCTTCTTGATCTCGCCCCGGATTTTCAGCAATCCATGCACGAGCTCCGTAGCCTGCGAGCCGTCTCAAGCCCAGTGCTGATGGTGATTCAGATGATGATCACAAGAAAAGAAGATGAAAATGGGTTGAGGAAATCAAACCCGGAGATGGGACACCGACGCTGCACATGGTCGTGGCGAGAGTGCCGATGGCGACGGCGATGATATTGCTGATGACGATGGCCATGGCATGTTTTGTAATATTGATGCCGAAGGTGGTTATGCTGAACATCACCATCTGCACCATTTCCACCATTCATCGCCGCTTTCTTCGACGAATGATTATGGCCGGATCACCATCGAATCAGAGACACCAACAAGCCATCGTCACAGCTCTCACGAGACCATAGTAGACGACATCAGTCAGACCCAATCGCATTCGGGCAGTGGCATTCTTCCTATTTGTCCGATTTATCTTCCAAATCACAACAACCACAAGGAGCACGACCTTCATGTTCCATGTTCGCATCCGCTGTCAGCATCATCCGCAGGATGTTCGTGCCGCTCTCCATTCATCATGATATTGATGTTCGTTCGTCCCCTAAAACGGTAGGTGCGGCGGGGGTTCAGGAAGTGGGCGCGCCTGGGTGGAAGAGCCTTTGCTTCTTGGGTTCCCCTCGGAGTGCCCTACGGCATACTGCCCATCTGGAGTCCATTTAGTTCGTTTGGATGTCCCTCCTGATCGGATAGGGAGCCGCACAAACCGCAATTGCTTTGCATGGCCCAATCATGGGGTCATATGTGTTCGGAGAACAAAGTGGTAGCCCGCGCCCCAGCCTGAAGTGTACCGCTGCCATCTGCATCGATGATCTCGAAGAGGTGGGCACCTAGAGCGTAATAGGCTAGTCGAAGAGGAGCCCAATTCGCTTGCTCTTGCTCACGGTGCCATAGGCGATGTCCAGAGTTCTCGCATTTCAAGCTTCAAGGTTTTTTCGGTTGGGCAATAGGCAAGTAGAGAAGCCTGGATCCAAACCCTGACAACCCTAAGGCCTGTCGACACCACTGCAAATGTTGGAGGCATCGTTTTCTGGTTTTTGCTTGACTGGGGGTTCCTTTTCAAGCCATGCTTCGCTTCGCTTGTAATTTTCGAGGTTTGTGCTGGACTGTACAGGGCTCGACCAAAGCTGAGGTCTGTAGAACTCTAGGTTTCCTGTGGGAGCAACCACAACACAACAAACGCAAACATGGCGAGCACCTAAAGTCACAGAAAGCTGCATCAGAACAGGAGTCCAT